AGTCACGTCGTGCTGACGCTGGATACGTGACGGGCACATTGCAGCGATCATCCAGTCCATGCGTACCATGGTTTCTGAAAAGAATGCCAACGAGGAGTTCCAAAACTTCTTGCACGCGACTGTCAAGTCCGACGTCAAAGTGAGCGATGCACTTTCGATGGTTCCGCTAGCCGCGCACTCTGACGCCTGCCCTTTCTCTTGCGCCGTTCAGGGCACTGTTGGCCTGCAAGCACCCGTCTCAAAGGAGGACGCCAAAAAGGACGGAGAGACTGCTGGCGAGGCTTTCCGCACGCTCATCAAGCTTTTCCTGTACGTTTCGCACCGCTTCAAGCACGTCTCCCGCAAAGCTCACCGCTGCTCTCCTCTCCTTTGACTTTAGTCGCAACGGTGAGGCGCGCAAGCTCTTCAGCGACCTCGGAACCATTGGTCGAGACATTTTTGCCGATGCTGCGAGCTTCACTGCCAACAAGACGCGCCCTGACGAGGCCGCTCTGGCTCAAGTCGACCAGCCAGCGCCAGAGAATGAGTTCCACGACGACATTCCCGAGGCACTCAAAAAATCGCAAAAGGCTGCAACGGACGGCAAGGCTGATGCAAAGGATGAGGCAGCCAAGGCAGCTGATCAGACTGCCCAGGCTCTTGACCCCAACGCGACGGCCGACCAGAACAAGGACAATGTCGCAAAGGCTGCTCAAGAGCAAAAGGAGAAGCTCCTCGCCAAGATTCCCGATAAGCACAAGGACATTGCCAAGGAGCACGCCGAGAAGACGAAGAACTATTTCAAGGAAAACTTTCCCGAGCGTAGGCGCAACCTGTTCATCTACCGCCTAAAGAAGGTTCTCGTCGAGTGCCAGCGTCACCGCGACTACCAAGATGCCATGGACTTTTTCCTGAACGCTTTCGAGTCTTACAAGGGCCACGCCGCGGACATTGCTGCACAAACCGAAGACAATGCCAAGAACCTCCGCGCGGAATCTAACCTGGCCACTGCTGAGCGCTCCTTCCGTACTCTGATTGAGCGTTTCGCCAACGGCCATTCCACTCAGCCCATTGCCAACGCCCTCGACACTCTCTACACGGACGTCAAGAATGATGGCGAGCTAAAGGCTTGGTTTAGCCGTCTCGACACCTACGTTCGCAAGTGCCTCCAAGAGCCAGGCTACGTCATGAAGGATGAGGCCGACAACGAAGCTCGCAGCATTCGCGAGCAGGGTCAGCGCTTCTTTGGTGTGGGCGAGCACGAGGGCAAGTACAAGGGCCACTTTGACGATCTGTTCAAGCAAATCGAAATCTTCTTCAAGGCTGTGGGAGACGATCCCGTCAACAAGGCCTTTGGCGAAAAGTGGCACACGCTTGG